CGCAGCGCGGCTCTTTAAGGGTGCCTGGCGTGTAGCGTTCCCCACACCGCGTTGGCAGTGGCCATCATTTGGTTACTTGTAGCCAAGCTTCTCCCTCTGCGGTGTGTATTCGAGCAGACACTCCTGCTTGATCTCTGCCTGAAGCCTAGTAGGAACTCTTAAATACCAAGCTGTTAGAGGCTCAGCTGCCTAGAAAGAGCCCTTGGGTGCCACCTGCTGGCTGACACATGGGATTTTCCTTGAGGGACACTAATCTCAGCTCACCTCCTCATTCCCGAATCCCCCCACCTTCCACCCAGGCTCCCCTCTGCCCTTGAGGGTGAGGGTTAAGAATGAACCCGGATCACGGTTCCCCACTGGGGACCGTATTTCTACATCGATCCTGGGTGCCACTTGCTAGCTTATTCTGTTTCCTGTTAGAGGGGGATGGTGACAGTCTCTGCTGGTCTCTGAGTGGACAGCAAGTCCCCTGTGCCCCATGACTCGAACAAGCCACCTCCCCCAGCAACATCCACCCCCAACCTCCACATCTCAGTCAGGCAGCTGGTCTCTCTGAACTACTGAATGTAACTGTCACTCCAGCCTGGGGCACCCTTCACCCTACTCCTTGGGTCTCTTCTGTGGGTTTCTGGCCTTGGAGAAGATATTTTGGCCTGGAAGCAGAAAATCTGACCTCGGTGCTTTGGGCTCTCTCTCCTCAGAGCCAGGAAAGCTCCACGCACACACCCCAGTCCTTTGCCCTAAAGATCCACCTTACCTGTTATTCATTTCAGCCCGGGAGCTCACGAGTTCATGCTTCCTTCCACTGTCCTCGGCCCAAGGCCACAAACTTCTTCCCTTATGATTAGCAACTAAGGTGGGTCCTGCCCTCACCCATAGACTCAGGGTTCCCTTAGAAAGAGGTGGGGTAGCCGGGCGTTGGTAGCACACGCCTTTAATCCCAGCACTTGGGAAGCAGAGGCAGGCAGATCTCTGTGAGTTCGAGACAAGCCTGGTCTACAAAAGTTAGTTCCAGGACAACCTCCAAAGCCACGGAGAAACCCTGTCTCGAAAGAAAAGAAAGAAAGCTGGGTAAGTGGGGGAACTGGTGGGCTGGAAAGATGACTCAGAGGTTAAGAGTACATGCTGTCTGTCCCCATGACGTTCAGATCCCAGCACCCACATCAGGCAGCTCACAAAAACCTGCAATTCCAACTCCAGGCAATCCCGAATACCTTCTACTATGGGCACCAGAACACATGTGGCAGACACATACATGTAGACCAGGAAGTCCTAAGGTCAAAGTGTATCTCCCCCGTCTGACAAAGCACCATGGCAGAGACTTTGCAGCAATTTGACAGGAGATCCCAAGACATGCCAGAGCCCCAGCATGTGGCCAGTCTGCTGATTCTTCTAAGGACAGAATGTCTTCACTTCCAGGCCCACAGGGCGTTGGGTTACAGCCCTTGAATTTCGGAGGAAGGAATGGGTGTCAGAGTCAAGACGCCAAGGCAGGCAAGCATGCCCCAGCTCTGCGGCTGTACCACCTCACCAGCAGGTGGCACCAAACCTCAGAATGAAAGCAGAGCTGGGGGTGACAGTGATTGTATCCGGACAATGGTGACAATAACCCCCAGTCAGTCACAGAGCGTTCTCAGAAGGGGCCGGGGTGACAGAAAGCAAGGAGCTGAAACACACAGCCTAACACACCCTTCCCGTGGTGCCGGAGCCAGCTTCTAGATCAACCTGTCCTGTCCAGGAAGGTCAGCGTGATGCAGGGATGAATGAAGAGAGAAGCCAAGCTTCTCTTCCTGTACCACAGAGAGAGAGAGAGAGAGAGAGAGAGAGAGAGAGAGAGAGAGAGAGAGAGAGAGAGAGAGAGAGAGAGAGAGAGAGAGAGAGAGAATCACAGCCTTCATCTCTCATTCCAAGAGAATGTGTATCCAGACCTGGTGGTGCCCCCACAAAACTGCTCCAGAGAGGGGTGGAGGCCATGTAGCAAGACACACAGCCTAACTGCTGGGCCAAGAAGGGTCTGGAGAGCAGGCACCCCCACACTCCCCTACCAAGGGCGGCTTGGGTGTCCTCAGGCGCCAGGCTCAGCCAGGCCCTCCTTAGTCTCACAATCCTAGTCTTTGTCCACAGGCCTGCCCAGGCCCAGCTGGCTCCATACCAACCCAAGAGCCCCTGGAAACCCGAGCAGCTGGACTGTCACCAAGTACTTTTCCAGGCCAGGCCAGGCCAGGGGCCCTCGGGAGACAGAGAGCGATGGGGTGGGGGAGACGTCCATTCATCTGCACTTCCATTATTTCCTTCTTTGGACAAATATTTATTGAGTGCCCTCTTTGAGACAGGCACAATGCTGGGTGAGTGGGATCCAGCGCAGCCCCATTGCCCCCTTGGATCGTACATTCTAGAAGCGACTGCCGTGGAGATGCAAATGGAAGCCCTCCCACAGTAAGGCAACAAATCCTTCTCTCCCTGCAGGGACCAGGCTGCGGGGGTGGGAGGGGGGGCAGGAGTAAGGTGTGGACGAGGAGGCAGGTGAGGATGCTACCGACTAAATTAAGGCCTTTCTACCCCAGGCTTCTGCCCCTAGAGGGCGGCTGGGGGTGGGGGGGTCTTTCAGGGTTCCACCCACACGCTACTGTTGGTCACCCGGGCCCCGAACCAGCCCTTCCAGTAGACCGAGTCCTGCCCTCCGTGCTCGAAGCGGACAAAGCGGACGCCGGGCCCGTAGTCGGTGAAAGTGTGGGAGACCTGGGGATGAAGGGGTATTGTGTCAGCCTCAGGGGTCTAAGGTTGTTCCTGTTGTCCCACGCGGGCGCACCCCAGCTCTGATTGCGGGCTGAACTTGGCGCTGGCTCTAGGAGCCGCGGTCCACCCTCTCTGCGCCAGAGATCCGTGGGTGGAGCTTCCACCCAGGATGTCCCGGCCTCGGCCCCGCCCCCGGCTCTGCAGGATCACCTCCATCCAGCCGCCATCCTCTGGCACTGCCACCTGCCCAGTGTTGAACTCCGCCAGCACGTCTTCGTGCTCCGACAACAGCCTCACAGTGAGCTCGTACAGGCTGCCAGCATCCGTGCGGCCCGAGTACCTGCGGGGGAGTGCGGGGCGCAGGCGTCATTGGCTGAGCCTCACTCTGCCGGAGATCTCTGTCCAGTCCAGCATCCATGCCTGGCCAGGGTCCGTCCCCTACCCTCCACCGTGTTCCCATTTCACAGACAAGGAAACTGCAGCCACAGAGCAGAGGGAACTGGGCCCCAGAGCCAAATGCAGGGACTACATGTGCCAGACCCAACCTTGTACTGCCGGGACTGTCATACGCACAAAAAAAAATGGTGGGGGGGATACACATGGATATGCGTATACATGTCGGGAGTGAGCAGACCTTAACTTAGTGGGCGTATTCTTGCGTTGCCTTAAGCGAGAGCAAGCGCACATCCATTCTCTAACATTTTAAACTCGAGGTAGGAAATAGATTTCAATCCGATGCCAACCCTTGCAGGCCCGTGGCCCACGTGGCCGCAACACGGAAAGTGTGGCACACGGCTAGTCCCACCACCACCTCCATTTCCCCTTCCCCTCCAGTCCAGACCCCTCCTTCACAGCTCCTCACCAATCCTTCGCCACGATGGCGGGTTGGGTGGTGTCCAGCAGCTCCTCCCAATAGCCCTCAGCCTGCAGATCAACGACCTGCGCTTTGCGACACCACCTGGGGGAACGGGCGTCAGGATCCCGAAGCCCCCCCCCCAACTTCCCCTCCCTCTCCCCCCTGTCCCTTCCTCCTTACTCGAAGGAGGAGGCGAAGTACTTCTTAACGCTGTCATCTTGGGTAAATTCCACTCCACTGTCTCCCGGCAGTTCCTCCACCCTCCAGCCGTCCCCACCGTGCTCCACATCGCACCAGCCCTCCAAGTCCTCTGTAGGGACACGACAGTCCCACCCTGGTCACACAGCCCCTGCTTGAGGCTGTGCCAGGGCTGGCTCTTGCCTTGGCAGCGGGAGGCAGAATGGGCGTGGGTGCTTTCTCAAGGTCTTTGGTGGGCAAAGGATAAATGATGGGACCGTAGGCACTTCCTCGCTCTACCCCCGATCCGGTGTCCCCCGGGCCTGTCCCACCCCAGTACAGGGAAGTGGGTAACCTGGGAGGAGACTCCCCAGGGAGTAGAGGGCTATTCTGGGCTGGGCATTACACCGAGCATGTCATCTCGTTAACCTTGAAGTGGCCTGGCACCAAGGGCCGTTTTCTAGGAGAGACAATGGACACTCCGATACGTGGCCCTCACCTTCCCCACATGGGTTACGCAGCAGGTTGCGCCTCCTCTTGCTCAGAAAGTAGAACTCTTGCCAGTGGTCCCGCTCATCGTCGTTGCAGCCCTCAGGCACCAGCCCCTCCTGCTGGCACTTGAGCAGCCACAGTGGGGCGCTGTCCACCAGCTCCTTCCAGCGCAGGCACACCAGGCGGCAGGCCTGCACCAGCTCCGAGGCTGGCAGCTCCGCCAGCACGCGAAGCAGCAGCGGCTCCGGCAGCTGGGCCAGGTACTCGGCTGCCTCCGCCTCTTCCTCCTCCTCCTCCTCCTCCTCCTCCCGGGGCTGCTCCTCCTCTGCACTAGTCTCGGCACCCGCCTCCTCTGGCTGCTCCTCTGGGCTCACCTCTTCGGGGTGGCTCACACTCTCTGAGGGCGGGAGGGGCAGAGGGATAAGGGAACCCTGTGACTCCCAAACTGCTCCCCTCCACGTCCCATAACGAGGCAACCGCAGCGGGGACCAGAAGTTCTCAGCATTCGCCTATAATCCCAGCACTCGAGGCAGAGACAAGTGATTCTCTGTAAGAGGCCAGCCTGCCCTAGGTAGAGTTACAGGTAGACTACATAGTGACTCCTACAGAGAGAGAGAGAGAGAGAGAGAGAGAGAGGGAGGGAGGGAGGGAGGGAGGGAGGGAGGGAGGGAGGGAGGGAGGGAGGGAGGGAGGGAGGGAGGGAGGGAGGGAGGGAGGGAGGGAGGGAGGGAGGGAGGGAGGGAGGGAGGGAGGGAGGAGGGGGTAGAGCGCTCCCTAAACTGTGCCCAAAGAGGAAGCCCATGGAGGTACAGCCAGAGCCACAGGTACTCCCCCTAAACCAGAATTGCTTCAGCTGCCGCTTCCCCCACAGGACTAGTAGACACCCACGAGGATCTGGGGTTACCCGTGGACCTGTACTTACAGGATCAGTTCTCCTAAGCACCTCCCAGAGTTCTGAGTCCTTTGCCTCCTCCGGGGAGCCTTCCTGAACATACCTTTAGCACACCCTCTCACAGCCCAAGCTCAAAGGCATTCGAGGGCTGCCTGCTTCTGGTCTTGGTCTGGTTGCTTAATAATGCCTTTGTGTACAATGGACTGAGCACGCGAACTTGGCCTGGAAGACACCGCTTTCTTCCTAGTGCCTAGCCACCAGTGTGGAGTCGGGAGCTACTGTTTTACCAGCACTTAGAAGAATGAGGTACCACTAGGAGCTTTTGAATTACTTCCTAAATCCTCAAACCATCTCTTCCTGGTTGAGCCTATATCGATTTTAAGGAGGGACAGAGAGGAGACAAGGTCCAGGATCGAACAACTTATAAGTACTTGGAGTCTGTGTTTGAACCCATTCAGTCCAACACCGGAGCCAGCTTAGCCAGTGTTACCAAAAGAATGTGTTGGGCCAGCGGGTGGTGGCACACACCTCTGATCCCAGCACACTTGAAGCGCAGACAAGTGGATCTCTGTGAGTTCAAGGCAAGCCTGGTCTACAGAGCAACTTCCAGGACAGCCAGAAAAACACAGAGAAACCCTGTCTGGAAAAAATTTTTTTTGTTTTAGATTAGTACTCTGGGCTAGGTTTTGATACTGGCTCAGGTTTGAAAATGTGAAGTAACTTGGTGTAGGTCCCACAGGCAGTATTAGGGCAGGGAGAAGAGGCTAGAGATCCAGCTGTCCCCAGCCAGCCAATGTTGTGTAGGAATGGGGAAACAGCAGGGAGAGAAGTATTGGGTGACTGGAAAAAAAGTCCCCCTCCCCTTCCCGTCTCTCACCCCTGGTTTCCTCATCTGTGAAATGGGGTCATCATGTGTCAGACCACACATCTATACTGATGCTTACCCCTCCCCACAGAGGAGCAATGGCATGGAGACAGCCACTCTTGCTTGTACTCGGGAACTCCTGACCCCGTGGAGAGGGCTAAGCCCCGGGAAGGAAGCAGTGGCTCTCAGGCTGAGCTCTTGAGGTCAGTTCATTGCACACCCAGGGCAGTGTGGGCAGCTGGGTATCACTTGGATCTCAGCCCGCCTCATCTGGGCCACGGAAGACTTGAGTAAGCAGACACTGAGTATCTCTAAAGAAGAGAAGGCCAGTGGGGAGGGGACCCAGCCACCCGGGGTAATGGAGGTCACTTCTCTCAGTGTTCCTGAAGACTGGACTGCCTGGAAATCAAAGGCAGTCAGGGAGCAGGCTGTGTCAGAGGAGGGGACAGATGGCCTATTCCCCAGACCTCCTGGGTGTGATGCAACCAGCAGTCCCCCACCCTGTCAGCATTGGAAAGCTGAATCAGGACTCCCTTCTTTCTTTAGGGCACACATAGTTCATCATCCACGGTGGATCTTACACACACACACACACACACACACACACACACCACTTTCCTGCATTTCTAGCCTTTTTTGTTGACATTTTCATATGTAGGGGTTAACGAGGAAACTGAGGCTCAGAGAGTCCTGGCATTTCTCCCAGGTCCCACCACGGGACATTATCAAACAGAGAGTTAAATGCCTGTCCACCCTGCTTCCCACAGCTCTCTGGAGAACTGGGCCCAGTGTCCTCACCTCTCCACCTGGTCCCAGCCCTGCCCTGGCCCCAGCGGATACCTGATGCTCCCCGGAAAGATGCACCTCACCCAGTCCTCTCTCCTGGCCCCTAGGCCTGGCATTGAGGCCCGAGATCCGATTACAGCCCCCACCCCCTGCTCCCTCGCACACAACTTGCCACATTGTTGCTGTAGGAAAGTTATCGAGCCCTGCAGCCCTGCACGCTGACCCCACGTTGACTCACTCACCTGGATTGGGCCCCTGAGTCCCAGGGACTTCCTGGGTGGGGGCGGGGGCAGGGGAGGGGATATGGGGACGAGGTGCCTGTTGTGGGACCCTGTAGACAATGTTGATGGGGAACTGGGAGTTGGAAGGGGCTTCGGGGATGGAAGGAATCCTAGCCATCTTAGAGGGCATCTGTTCCCTTGTCTCCCCTTAAGAGTGACCACTGCAAGGGTGGTTTGTGAGAAAGGGGTGGAGGTCATTGAGGCAGGTTTGCTCCCCAGCCTGACTCAGCAAATAACCTCCTACAGGCCAGGCAGGGAGCTGGAGGGGGGAGGGTTGGGGTCTTTGGTGCCAGAAAAGATGACTGGACAATCCTTGAGGACTCAGAGCATCCTCCAAAAGCAGCCGCAACTCTTCCGCGCCACTAGCCTGGTCCCCACGGAGCAGCCCACTACCCCGACACGAGGTGGTCCCTCCAAAAGAGGGAGTCCCTCAGGAATCTGGGATGGGTGCAAGGTGAGTCTGGTAAGCCCCAGGGCCCGGCGGGGACTCCGGAGGCTCACGAGGAAGGGAGGGCCGAGCTAGCAAGTTGATGAAAGCAAAAGCTTGCTTTTGAGAACCCGCCTCTCAAACCCCAGGAATTCTGGAGCCTGGGAAGCCAGAGTCCTCCTATGCCATTTTAGAGACCCAGGCATCCTCCTCCCTCCACGCCAAGACACCAGGCAAAAAAAAAAAAAAAAAAAAAAACAAAAAACAAAAAAAAAAAACAAAACAAAAAAAAAAACTGCTCCCTAGACTGTCTCCAAGGTTTTGCTGTCGCGAAAGTTTGAGCGCCGTCCGGGGCGCTCGTCCTCCCTGTCTCCCCGGTCTGGCGCGAGCGGGGCCGGCTACGGCTACCTGGATCACCATCTCCATCCATCGCTGCGGCGGGGTCGACAGAGAGGAGCCGGAGCGCTGCGGGTGGCGAGTCCTGGAGGTGCCCGCGTCAGCCGGGTCGGTGTCACGGCGCCTCTTAAAGGCCCCGCGCGCCCCGCCCCGCCCCTGGCCCCACGCTGGGGGCCGGGAGCCCCGCGCCCCCAGAGCCCAAGGTACGGCTTCTGGGAGGAGCCGGGTACTGGGGAGGGGCGGATGTAGCCACGGTGCGCCTGGAGGGTGATTGCGTGATGACACCTGGGGTCGGGAAGTCGGGGAGCGGAGGGTGAGGGCGCCAGACCCAGTGGAGATGGGGGTATCAGCGACTTCCCGCCCCTCAGGTAATTTTCCTACGCTGCGGTGGAGCGCGTTCCCGGAGAGCGCGGGTGAGGCGGGGCCTGGAGAAATGGTGGGCGGAACCGCATCCCGCGCCAACACTGGCAGAAAGACGCAGTTCCAAAACCGAACACTGCAGGGCAGCTGGACTAAAGGCGGGTGACAGGAGAAATGGGGTGGGGCGGGGCGTGGTCTGCCAAGCAGTGGGCGGGTCGCACCCCGGGCCACTGGTACGGATGGCTCAGCCCCAAGAACCGGAGGGTATGGCGTAGCGCAGCCAAACGCGGGTGACAAGGAGACAGGGGAGGAGGCGGGACCAACGGTGTGGGGCGGGGTCTGGCGGGCAGTGGGCGGGGCCGTGTTCTGGATGCCGTTCTATGGCCGGGACCCATCACGCAACACTACCAAGCGCAGGTGACCGAAGGAGGGGCGCACTGAGCGCCCCGGCAGGGAGAGGATTGGCGAGTAGTGGCCAGGTCTGTGTCCCCAGCCACGCAGGCCCGGGCCGTACAGCCTCACGGTCCCCGGATCGCAGGTGACCGCGGGAGGGCGAGCACGCAGCGCGGGGACAGAGACGCGGTGGGCAGGGACCTAGCGGGGACGGGGACGGGGGTTCGCTCTGCGATCCTGGGGGCCCAGCGCCTTTAACACCCAGGCCTCGGGGCTTGCCCCCACTGCACTGCGAGGCCTCAAGGAACTGGGCTGGGGACGCCATCGGTGTTCCGAGGTCTGAACCTCGTCTTGAGGCGGTAGCGCATTTTAGGGCCACGCATAAGAAATGCGAGACTGCAGGGGACCTGGGCGGGTGCGGGCAGGCAGCCTCCAGCTGGAGCCCAACCACCCGGGTGCGGGAGGGAGATAGGAAGGCTCTACCCGCACACCTTTCCCCAGGCTCAGGTAAGCGGGTCGTATTCTCTGAAGATCTTGAGAACGTCACTGAGCCTTTTGTACTCGGTGACCGGTCCTGAGACAGCGATAACCCCCGCTTATCGTCTCTGCCCCCTTCCTCGTTGGGGGATGGGAGAGGATGAAGACTGGCAGGCTAGAGAGCTCACAAGGCCTTCCATTGTTGCCCTCCTCTTAAAAGACTCCTGGCCTATTGAAAATGGCTGGCTCTGTCTTCTGTCAGGGCCAGAGCTGCTTCTCCGTCCTCTCCTGTTTGTGTGACCTTGGGCAGCCTTAGAGGCTGTCTTAAGGGCCGGGTTTGGAGGGAATCAGAGCTCACCGTTTACTAAGAAATTCCCTCGCCCATGCACCTTGCGCTGCCAGTGACCCTGGAGGGACGTACCATTTCCGCCCTGTTTGCGTGCTGAAGAGAAAGCTGAAGGTCAGCGCAGCACAGTGACTCTGGTGACAGTCAGTGGCAGCTGAGTTAGGAACCTCTCTATCCCTGGGCGCCGGAAGTGCCAGGTGCCAGGGAGAAGTCTGGATGTATAGCACAGCTCTCCTCCAACACCCCCCCCACAGGAACCGCTGCCATGGCTGTAGGCAATATCAACGAGCTGCCCGAGAACATTCTCCTGGAGCTGTTCACGCACGTCCCCGCCCGCCAGCTGCTGCTGCGATGCAGACCTGTCTGCAGCCTGTGGCGAGACCTCATTGACCTGGTGACTCTGTGGAAGCGCAAGTGCCTCCGAGAGGGCTTCATCACCGAGGACTGGGACCAGCCCGTGGCTGACTGGAAGATCTTCTACTTCCTGCGCAGCCTCCGAAGGAACCTCCTTCACAACCCATGTGCAGAAGGTGGGTATGGAGAGTATCTGCCAGGAGACAGACATGCTCTGTAAGGTAATCAGTGGACATGTCTTGAACACTGGCTGTGAGCCCTTTGACTAGATTATGGCCCTTATTCCTCTCACAATAATTCTTCTTAGAAGTAGGTACTATTATTTTTTTCTTTTGGTTTTTTGAGACAGGGTTTCTCTGTAGCTTTGGAGCCTGTCCTAGAACTCACTCTGTAGACCAGGGTGGCCTCGAACTCCCAGAGATCCGCCTGCCTCTGCCTCCCGAGTGCTGGAATTAAAGGCAGGCGCCACCACCACCACCCAGCCAGAAGTAGGTACTATTGATATACCCTCTTTTCAAATGGGTAGACTGAGGCCAAGAGTGCTGTTTATTATAGATTATTTCTCAGCTGGGTAGGATGGCACACACCTGTAATCCCAGCGCTTGGGAAGTGGACACAGGAAGATAGGGAGTTCAAGGACATCCAGTCTGGGCTACGTGAGACTTTGTTTCAAAACAAACGGATTATTTCTCAGTTGGGAACAATGCTAACACTGTAATCCCAGCACAGGGGAGGCAAACAGAAGCATCATGCGTTTGAGGGCAGCCTCTCCTAAAACCTTCCCTAGGAAAAGAAATGGTGGCCAATTGGAACAGATTGTGTTAGGCACTAGTCGAAGCCACAGTCTGTTGTCCTCACAGACCCCCGGTTAGGCCTACAGGGGGTGTCCCAGAAGGAGTCTTGCCTATGGGAGAAGGGGGTATGAAGTCTTCTTTGCCTTGTGGTTTAAGAACAGGTCAGACACAAGGCTTCTAGTCATCTGGACCCCTCAGGCCCTGGCTGTGCTGTATAGCCTGGGTGAGTTACAGCAGGAAGGAACTTGTTTTCTGTTGCATGGTCAAATATCAGGAAAAACACAGTAAAAGAGTAAGTTCAGGCTGCCCAGACCCTCCAGTTGCCTGTCTGTGTCCCTTGACTTCCCATAGCCATGTTCTTGACTGATGCTAGGCAGACTACAGCCAAGAAGAATTTTATGGTTTGTTTTGTTTTGTTTTGTTTGGGAAGGTGGTCATCACAGGGTCTCTCTATATATTATTACAACACAGGCAACTCTGGATGTCCTGGAATTCACTGGTGTGGACCAAGCTGACCTTGAACTCATGGAGATTCATCTGTCTCTGCCTGCCAAGTGCTGGGATTAAAGGCATGAGCTACCATGCCCAGCTGGGTTTTATGTTTTTAAAGGATTGTAAAAATAGAAACAAAAAACTATGTGATGGAGATAGCGTGTGGTCCCAAACCTAAGATATCATATCATGGCTCCCAACACTTTTTTTTTTGACATTTGTTTACGTATGTATTAGCTGTGTGGGGTAGGGAGAGCTGTTCATGCTACCACACATATGAAAGTCAGAAGACAACCTGTGACTGTCAGTTTTGGCCTTCCATCATGTGGGCTCCTGAGGTAGCCATTTCAGGTCGTCCGGCTTGGTGGCAAGTGCCTTTACCAATGAGACATCTTGCTGGTTTCTCTGTGGCTTTGGAGGCTGTCCTGGCTGGTCTCGAACTCACAGAGATCTGCCTGCCTCTGCCTTCCGAGGGCTGGGATTAAAGGCATGCGCCACCACCACCCGGCTTGTTCTTACATTTCTGAGACAGGGTCTTGCTACCTTGCCATGTAACCCTGTCTGGCCTGGTATTCAGTATGTGTCTCAGACTGGCCTTGAACTCACGGCAATCCTCCTGCCTCGGCCTGCCAGGATGGCAGGTATGTGCCACCACAGGTTAGCTTCTATGCTTGCTTCTAGCTAACAAGAGGACCAAGTCTCGGAGAAGGAAGGTAACGTGTCTGATGGCCACACAGCCCACTGCTGCTGGAGCTGAGTTAGATTCAAGTGTGCGAGGCAGAGCTCTGTCCATTGCGGCTGGGGTCTGGTCATCCGGGATTCTCAATGGAAGCCCCTTACCCACACCCAGTGCACACAGGAAGCGCCCAAGGTGCTACCTACAATGACAAAGCCCAGGGCTGGGAGGGCAGCTGGGACACCCCACCACTGAGAGGAAGGGGTACGTGGAGAAGGTCCCGCATGGTGCGCTGTGCTCTCCCCACAGAGGGATTTGAGTTCTGGAGCCTGGACGTGAACGGAGGTGACGAGTGGAAGGTGGAGGACCTCTCCAAAGACCAGCGGAAGGAATTCCCCAATGACCAGGTCAAGAAATACTTCGTGACTTCCTATTAGTAAGATCTCGGGCCTCAGGGTGGGGGGAGCCCAAGTCCTGACATCAGGGTACAGTGCTGAACTCCAGCCCCGCCCCCCAGCACCTGCCTCAAGTCCCAGGTGGTGGACCTCAAGGCTGAAGGGTATTGGGAGGAGCTGATGGACGCCACCCGACCGGACATCGAGGTCAAAGACTGGTGAGTGACGGGGCGAGGGTCTGGGGGGGGTCTGCCGCCCAGGCGCCCCACCCCTGCCCTGCCCCCCACCTCCCAGGTCCTCATGGACCCTTCCTTCTTCCACCCGCAGGTTCGCAGCCAGACCAGACTGCGGGTCCAAGTACCAGCTGTGCGTTCAGCTTCTGTCGTCGGCACACGCGCCGCTGGGAACCTTCCAGCCAGACCCGGTAACGATCCAGCAGAAGAGCGACGCCAAGTGGAGGGAGGTATGTGGACAGGGACCCTGCAGGAACCTGGGCTCAGACTCAGATTCCGCCACCTCTCACCTGGGTTTCTGCTGCTCTAAGCTGCAGCCTCACTCGCTTCACTGGAAAAAAAGAGTAAGCCTCCATCTTAGATATCAGGGATATCTAGGAGAGCTCCAACTCAACACAATTTCCAGAAAGGACGTCTCAGTGGTAGACTGATTGCCTAATACAGGAGGCCCTATGTCCCATCCCCAGTACTCAATAAATAACTGGAGCTGAAGACATGCCCTCAGCAGTTCCCATCACGCTTGCTCTTACAGAGGTCCTGGGTTCAAATCCCAGCACCCACATGGCGGCACACAACCATCTATAACACCAGTTCCAGGTATTCAATCCCCTCTTCAGTCCTCTCTGCAAGTACCAGGCACATAAATAGTCCATATACATACATGCTGGCAAACATTCACACACATCACATAAAATTATATCTAAGATATATCTAATGAAAATAAATAAAGGCTGTGCCACCAGAAATGCTCAGCGTTGGCCTGGTATTCAGTATGTGTCTCAGACTGGCCTTGAACTCACGGCAATCCTCCTGCCTCGGCCTGCCAGGATGGCAGGTATGTGCCACCACAGGTTAGCTTCTATGCTTGCTTCTAGCTAACAAGAGGACCAAGTCTCGGAGAAGGAAGCCCTGTCCCTGGCTACCACTGAGGCAGCCAGCAGTGGGTCAAGGCTAGCCTGGTAACCCAGGGAGACCCTTGTCGTAAAATTAGAAACAGCGAAAAAAGACCAGGGGTACACACAGCAGTGGAGTGCCTGTCTAGCATGTGCTGGCTCAACCCAAACATCACAGAAAAATACAAATGTTCAGAGCCAAGTGTGGCGGCTCATGCCTGCAATCCCGACACTTGAGCAGTGCGTGTGTGAGGATTGGGAGGCCATCTACAGCAACATCCAGTACAACATGTGCTACCTAAAAGAGGGAAAGAAAGAAAATACCCAGAAGGTGTGGCTGCTAGATTAATAACTAGCATCACTACAAGAGTTCCCAACTCATTTTTGTGACTTATTCATTTGTATGTCATGTATATGGGTGGTTTGCCTGTGTGTATGTGGACCCCATGCATGCAGCACCCAAGGAGGCCAGAAGAGGGTGTCAGATTCCATGGAACTAGAGTTAACAGAAGGTTGGGAAGTCGCTGTGTGTGTGTGGGTGCTGGGAATTGAACCCTGATCCTCTGCAGTAGTAACCACTGAGCCATCTCTCCAGAGCCTCCCCTCTCAACTTAAATTTTATTTTATAATGGGACCATGACCCCACAGTAAATCTTGGAGCATCTGGACTCATCAGTGTTCTACTTAGGATGTTTTTTTCTAATGGGCAATAGGTCTATCAAATACATCTTCAATTTAGCTGGATTTTAGCTCATGGTGGGTCTGTCTGCACCTGCCCACCATCATTTGAGAAGCAGCTGTTATCTGTGCCATGGTCACACACGCTGTCTTTTTTTTCTTTTGGTGGGATTAGATACAGAACCTAAGACCTCACACATGCTAGGCAAGCAAGTGCTCTACCACTAAGGGCAGATACAAATCCCGGTGTGGTGACTCAGTCCTGTAATACTAGTACTTAAGAGTCTGAGGCAGGGGCTTCGCTATACCATTTCAAGCCTGTCTTGAGTTTCTTGTTGTTATTTTCAGACAGGGTTTCTCTGTATAGTCCTGGCTGTTGTGGAACTCACTCTGTAGACCAGGCTGGCCTCGAACTCACAGAGATCCCCCTGCCTCTGCCTCCCAAGTGCTGGGGTTAAAGATGGCCACCATTCCTGACCAGCTTGAGTTTTGTAGTGCATCCCAGGTCTGCCTAGGCCATAGAGACCTGGTGTTAAAAATACAAAACTACAAACATGCAAGCATACATATATGCATACATATTTACATACATACATACATACACACACACACAAGAAACAAATAAGTAAACATATGGGCAAGGTGGGGTGTGGCAAGGCAGAGACAAGCGATCTCTGTGAGTTCAAAGTCAGCCCTGTCTACATAGCAAGTTCTAGGCCAGCCAGGGATACATATTAGATAAACAAATAAATACACCAGCAAGAACAAGCCAGGCGGAGACCTTCAAAATAAAAGTTTCATGAGGAAAAGGCACTTGCTATCAAGCCTGAGGACTTCAGTTCAGCCCCTGGGACCCACATAGATAACTCCAACAGGTTATCTTGAGACTGTCACGCATGCACTGTAGCATACGTGCGCATGCCCATACACGCACGCATAGTAAGTAAATGGCATTTTGAAAGTTATGTAAGCCAGACAGGAGGGTGGGAGAGATGGCTCAGAGGTTAAGGGTACCTGCATCCCTGGCGGTGGTGGCGCACGCCTTTAACCCCAGCACTCGGGAGGCAGAGGCAAGCAGTCTCTGTGAGTTAGAGACCAGCCCGGTCTACAAGAGCTAGCTAGTTCCAGAACAGCCTCCAAAGCCACAGAGAAACCAAGTCTTGAAAAACCAAAATAAATAAATAAATAAGTGCCTTCTGGCCTCTGTGGACACTACACTCACATGCCCAAATACGCATACACACATACCCAAACATTCTGTCACAAGGACCGGTATCTTAGTCAACAAGTAAAACTTTACTAAACAAAAACACCACCAGTGAACCAAGCCCTTATGTACACAAGTCCTTGAGTAAAATCCAGCCCTTTCTGGACCGAGTAATATGGTTCTTTATTTTATCTGAGTTTATTTTTATTTGTGTTTTGATGTAACTGATACAGGGTCTCATGTAGCCCAAGCTGGTGGTCTCCACCTTACCAGGTAGCAGAGGACGGCCTTGATCTCGGGCTGCTCCTGCCTCTACCCTCCAAGTGCTAAGGTTCCGGGTGTTTGCCACCACCTGGTTCATGATGCGCTGAGGACTGAATACAGGTCTTTTTGAATTTTACCATGCTGGGCGATAACTTTATTGAGCTACAGCTTCAGCTCTTTCGTCATTTTCTGACGAAATTTCCCAAATATCCCAGGAGGGCCTCTAAGGCTATACATAGCCTTCACCTCCTGAGTGTTGGAATCAGAGGCTTGTGCTGTGGTGCCGGGAATGGAAGCCCGGACTCGAAGCATGCTACAAGCACTTTCAATCAATCTATGTCCCCAGCTCTGGTTTTGTTGTTGTTTTAAGATTTGTCTTTGTGCGGGGCGGTGGTGGCGCACGCCTTTAATCCCAGCACTCGGGAGGCAGAGGCAGGCGGATCTCTGTGAGTTTGAGGCCGGCCTGGTCTACAGAGTGAGTTCCAGGACAGCCTCCAAAACAATACAGAGAAACCCTGTCTCGTAAAAAAACCAAAAAAAAAAAAAAAGATTTGTCTTTGTGTTATGTGTATATGTATTCTGCCTATGTGCGTAGGAAACCAGAAGAGGGTGATGGATCTCTTGGAATTGTTGTGAACTGTCATGTAGATGCTGGGAACCATATCCTGGTCCTCTGCAAGAGCATCCAGCGCTCTTAAAAACATCTCTCCGGCCCCCTGCTTTGTTTTTTGAGACAGATCTTACATAGCAGTCCCTGACTGCTCCCATCTTCTGCCTTCTGCCCAGATTTCGCACACATTCTCCAACTATCCTCCCGGCGTCCGCTACATCTGGTTTCAGCACGGAGGCGTGGACACTCACTACTGGGCCGGCTGGTACGGCCCGAGAGTCACCAACAGCAGCATCATCATCGGGCCCCCGCTGCCCTGATGCCCTCTGAGCCCCTGTCCTCGGAGCCCTAATTGGTAAACAGCTGTCAGAAAGAGCCAGGTTTGGGAAGGAGGAGGTGGAAGGCAGGTATTTCCAGATCTTGTTTGTCTTTGTCCTCCAGCTGCCTCCTCTGTGTAGAGCTTCTAGTGTCTGGGTCACTCCTCTCTGCAGACGCTGGCCCTCCAGCAAGGTCACCACTCTAAGGGTTGCAGGTTGGGTGGATGCAAGAGGTTTCCATAGTCATCAGAGGGAGATCCCCAAGCTCAGATGCTCGCCCAGACCTGTCTCTTCGCACGACCTTTGTTCTCCTTCTGGGCCCTTAGAGGGACAAGCAAGCCATCTGGCAGGTTTGGGGACTGCTTTTGATGGTGTAGACCTTGGGGGCAGATCTGGGATAGAGGGTGGCCCTGCTCCCAGACCTCAGCCTGGTTGTCTGCTGCAGCTTTTGTCTTGGTCTTCCTTGCTTTAGCTTGGAAGTCAGGCCTGGTGCCAGATAGGCAGGTAAGATCAGACTGTCTTTGTCATCACCAAAGCCCAGAAAGCCAGGGGGGTACCAGTGAGTGCCAGGGCTCCCCAGAATGCCTATGGAACCCCACTCAGGATGGGGGGCAGGATGGGCCTGGAATCTGACAGTTGGAACAGGGAAACAGAGTAGAAGGGCCTGGGCCAAGTTCTCTGTGGCTTGGAGATGTCCCAGCCCCAACTGTAGGAGCTTCCAATCCCACACTGTGCCCTGACCCCAGCTCCACTCCACCCCTCCTACTGCACAGCCAAATAAAGCATTTCCCAGTCTCCTTGTGCCCTGGGACTTTGGAGGCAGGGGTGGGTTCATGGACAGTCGTGCCTGCCCCTAAGAGAGGCGCTGACCACTACACAAGTGTGGCCGTGGCAGCTCAGGGGGGCAGAGCCCTCGGCGATACAGGCCTCTTGTCCTCCAGGCAATCATGATGGATTTCTCTGTGCAGCCCAAGCAGGCTGTGCTGGCTTCACTTACTGTGGTCCCCCTGCCCAGGGCCTTACTGATTTAGACTGAGCCCGGCACACAGTAGGTGTTCAGTACTTGTCAAAGTTATTTCACTCCACAATGAACCAGATGGGGGTGAGCTGGAATGGGCCAGAGTTCACCAGCCACCTGCCTTGACCAGAGTTAGAGAACTCCCCTTGAGCTGTGCCTGCCACCCATGATGACTGCCTCAAGCAGGCACTCGATGGATGTTAGTTAATCATTTTGACTAGGACCAGAAAAAGGTTTTTCTCAGCAGGATCACTCAAAGCCCAGAAAGAAGCCGCGGGGCGTTGGTGGCGCACGCCTTTAATCCCAGCACTTCGGAGGCAGAGGCAGGCAGATCATCTGTGAGTTCGAGGCCAGCCTGGTCTACAGAGCGAGTTCCAGGACAGCCTCCAAAGCTACACAGAGAAACCCTGTCTCGGAAAACCAAACCAAACCAAAAAAACCCAAAAATTCAGAAAGAAACTGGACACCAGATGGTGTAGCAGGCCTTTAATCCCAGGACTCCTGGAGGCTGTGCGGTCAAGGCCAGCCTGAACTACAGAGTGACTTCCTGGACAGCCAGGGCCAAGTAGAAAGACCTTGTCTCAAAACACGAGCAAATGAAACAAAAAACCCCCGGAAAATAGAACATCGGCCCTCCCGGGGATAAGGGCGGGGCCGGGTTAAGTCGTGGCTGGGGCGTGCCAGTAGGGACTGGATTCTCGGTAGCGCTTCCTTCGCAGGAGGAGGAAGCAGGGCCGAAGTGGAGCAGGCTGTTGAGTCGCCTGTCGCCTAGAGGGGGAGACCGAAGCCCAGGAAACGCCGCCGGTAGAGTCCTGGAAGCCGCGGCGTGTGCCGGGGGGGCCCCCTAGGACCCCGAGCTCATCTTCGCACCGACGCGGAGGGCGGCTGGTCGGTGCGTGACGCCAGTGGGAGGCCGGGGCGGGGCGGGGCGACAGAAGATCGCGTCGCCCAGATCCAGGCCCAAGGCCCAGCAGAGCTGCGGCCGTCCGGTGCCCAGGTCGCGGCCGGGTGGGGCGGGGGGGGGGACGACAGCGGCGGGGCGGGGCGAGGCTGAGTGGGCGGAGGTCACGCGCTCGTGGGGAGGCTCGGGCTAGGAGCGGCCGGTGTCCGCGAGCCCGGAGCTGGGACGCCGGGCCTGCTGGACGTACGCGAGTGTCCGGGACGGTGGCGACACCCGCTTCTCCTTGGTGCAGAGGGCTGAGGACGGATGTCCGCGCGTGACCGGGCCACAGCCCGGCGTGGATTTTCCCACCAAGGCACCCCAGGGGTACTGCCGTCTCCTTTGCAAGATGGCTTGTTGTGGGTGAAAGTGTCATTGGGGCGGAATGCCACCAGGGCCGTACGAGGTCCCCTACTCCGCAGCGCCCAGTGACTCGCTGGTCTAGGCAGCTACTGGGAGTCGTCGACGTCTTTGTTTGTTTGTTTGTTTTTCGAGACAGGGTTTCCTCTGTTTTGTTTTGGAGGCTGTGCTGGAACTCGCTCTGTAGACCAGGCTGACCTGGAACTCCGCCTGCCTCCCCCCCCAGTGTTCGAGTGCTGGGACTAAAGGCTTACGCCACCTAATCCACTTAGTTTACCTGGGTTTTTGTGGGTTGTTTCTGAGGATGGAACTCTGGGGCCTCTCAAGCGCTAGATAAGCGTGCTACCACCCCGCAGCTCGCTCTATGATGGGGAGACATTTCTGACCTTTCTGCCTCTCCCTCTGACGAACACGTTCCTGCCATGCAAGCATCTGCCAAGAGTTATATTCCCAGTCCTACTTACTTTTACTTTTTTATAAATTGATCGGGCTGGGCCGAAAATTTCAAAGTTCCCGCTGGAACTATGAAGGTGTGCCACCCCAAACTTTGTTTTTCCGACACATTTTTTTCTTTACAATGGTAAAGCATACTATACCACAGTCACCTTTTTTCCCTTTAATTTTATGTGCATTCTTGTAAGATCTCCTGGAACTGGAGTTACAGACAGTTGTGAGCTGCCCTATGCGTGCTGGGAATTGAACCTGGGTCCTCTGAAAGAGCAGCCAGGGCTCTTAACAGCGGAGCCATCTCTCCAGGCCCTGGCTGCCTCTCCAGCTAAGCATTTAAACAAGGCCCAGATCCCTTGTGATCGTGGGTGTCATCCTGTGTCTCCTCCCTCGCCCCCCAAGGACTCCTCCAGGGCAAGGGCGAGAGTACATCCACTCTCCTGTGTTCTAGATCACCAGCTTCCCGGGAAGTCTGGGAGTCTGTTTCCCAGAAAGAAAGTAGGTTTCCCCCAGGCTTAGGCAGGTGTGCTCCTTTGAGTGACAGCATAGAGCCCTGTTCTGTCCACCCCCGCCCCTGGGGCAGGTCCCTGGCGTGACTTAGAGCTTGCAGTCGGTCAGACACTCCCATTCTGGCCTGGCCTGATGCCCAAGGCAACATATCTGTCACCTGGGCATTAAAATGCTACTGCAGTGATGTCACAGCAGGACTAGACATAGAGAATTTAAGAAACAGCGGAGTGGCCATGGAAGACTCCAAAACGAAGCAGTTTGGGGGTGAGGGGTTACAGACAGTTTCCTGTAACCTCTATCCCCCACCTCCCAAGTGCTGGGATTACAAAAGTCCACCACCAGACTCAGCTCCTAAACAGTTATTTTTCAGTGGGGGTAGGGATGCCTTTAAAAATCTTGTCTGTCTGTGGTTTTTTTTTTTTTTTCTTTTTTGAGACAAAGTCTTGTGCTGCTGCCCAAGCTGGCCTAGAACTCTAGGCTCAAGGCTGGGATACAGTTCATTGGCAGAGCGTTAGCATTGCATACACCAGGCTGAGTTCCAGCCCTAGCACTGTGCAAAGAGGTGTTATTTATTTATTTATTTTTAGGTTTATTTACCACATATACAGTGTTCTGCCTACAGGCCAGAAGAGGGCACCAGATTGAATTGTAGAGGGTTTTGAGCCACCATGTGGTTGCTGGGAATTGAACTCAGGACCCCTGGAAGAGCAGTCAGTGCTCTTAACCTGTGAGCCACCTCTCCAGCCCCACAAAGAGTTTTTTAAAGCTTAATTTTTGTGGCCAGGTGGTGTTGGCGCACGCCTTTAGTCCCAGCACTCGAGAGGCAGAGGCGGGTGGATCTCTCTGTGAGTTCCAGGACAGCCTCCAAAGCTACACAGAGAAACCCTGTCTTGAAAAACTAAAAACCTTAATTTTGTTCTTTTGTTGGTCTTTGAAAGCCAACCCAGGCTGACCTGATGTAGAATCCGAGTAGCCCAAGCAATCTTCCTGCCTTAGCCTCCTTGATGTTTGGAGCACGAGGTGCTAAATCCGGCACATTATTCATTTGTATTTCCCTTTTGCAAATGCACATAGCAAGGTCCCCGCTAATCTCAAGAACCACACTCCACTCCCATCCTGTAGGTGCTTCTGTCCTCACGAGGTTTCATCCAGGTCAGGGGAAGACCTGCCTAACATGCTCTAGAACCTGGTGGGAGGGGAGGAGTCAGCCCTTTCGGACCTTCTGCCCGGGGCTCACGGCTCATGGTCACTGTCATCCCCTACCCCTCCCAGGCCTGGGAGCGTAAGCTCCCCATTGCCACTATGGTCAACATTAACGAGCTCCCGGAGAACATTCTACTGGAGCTGTTCACGCACGTCCCCGCCCGCCAGCTGCTGCGTAACTGCCGGCTGGTCTGCAGCCACTGGCGAGACCTCATTGATGTGGTGACTCTGTGGAAACGCAAGAGCCTGCAAGAGGGCTTCATCACCGAGGACTGGGACCAGCCGGTGGAAGACTGGAAGATCTTCTACTTCCTGCGCAGCCTGCAGAGGAACCTCCTCCGGAACCCGTGTGCCGAAGGTGGGGTGGGGGAGGGGGGCTGCGGGGGACGGGGGTGAGGGGCGGGGTTGCCCCGGGAGCCTGCTCTCTACTTTCCTGAACCTCGGGGGCATTTTTGTACTTGCGCTTTCCACTCTGCCTGCAATGTCCCCAGGTCCCCAACACTTCCCACACTCTGGCTCCTTGTTGCCTGGGTCTCAGACCCTTCTATTATTCTGTGTGCGTGCTTGGGGCATGTGTGCGTGCTTGGGGCATGTGTGCGTGTGGCTGTCAGAGAGCAGACTGAGGGGGTTGATTCTCTTTCCACCATGTGGATCCTGGGACCCAACTCAGGTTATCAGGCTTGCTACCCTTACCTGCCTAGCCATCTTCACTCCCTGGGTTGACGCCTGAGCGGGAAGTGGCAGTGAACACCTTTAATCCCAGCACTAGGGAGGCAGAGGCGTTGAATCTCTCTAGTTCAAGGCCAGCCTGGTCTACAAAGTGAATTCCAGGACAGCTAAGGCTACACATGAGACTATCTCAAAAAAAAAAAAAAAAAAAAAAAAAGGAAAAGAAAAGAAAGAGGCCTTGTCTGTGTACTTCAAATGTCTGACATTTTCCCCTGTCCTGGCTAGGTCAGACAGACACTGGCTGTCTACACTGCAGAATACTTTGGGCCCTGAAGTGTCACTTAGAAGGATCGTCCTCTGAGGATGGCCAAGGCTCCGGCCAGTCTGAACACACAGGCCGTGCCTCAGACACTCGATCTGCCTACTTGTCCCAGATTCCACTCAGAAGCTGCCGGGCCAGGCTGCCAGGACACCTCACCTGGCCATTCTGCAGCTCTGTCTTTTAGCCCCCCCCCTCCCAGTGTCTAGCCTTGCTCAAATCTCCCATGGCTTTAGCTCATGCCAGCCCAGCTCCGAAGTCTCTTACTCCTTTGGCTCTGTATTGAGCAGCCCCTAAACACGTGGAAACGATGTGGGCTCCTGGGGTGAGTGGAACGGCAGACTCACCTGGTGAAGGTTCTGGGCGCATAGCATAACACTCAGCCTGAAGTGAGGAAATCCCTGGATCTGACCCCATTCCTGGAGGCCCCTCACTGTCACAGGACTCCTGCAGCTACCAGCCCAAGGGACACCAATGTCCATCTTGGCATTCGCCCAGGAAAAGGGCATCTAGTGGTGTCGGAACAGTGGGTTCCTTTGTCCCCCAGGATCAGGGTCATAGTTGACCAGGACCTCTTCCTCCTAAACCTAGGAAAGCCAGTGGCCAGGTGAGCAGCCAGATTGGGAGGAACTCCCATCAGCCCTGAGATCCGCCCCATCACAGGTCCTTGGAGACCATTCTCTCAGGATAGAAATGTGGTTGTGGGGGCCCCATGGCATTATGGGAAATGAGATTTAGTTCAGAACTTTTGGTCCTACTGTGTGGGTCAGAGTAGGAAGGAATGAGGTGATATGGGGACACCAATCTTGCTCTTGGACTGGTGGCATGCTGACCTTGTCTGCCAAGTACACTCCAAGAGAAGCGAGCTAATTAACCCTTTGGTGTTCATAACCCCTTAAAGTCTCTCAGGGCTGGAAAGAGCCTCTAAGTTTCAAGGGTATACCTCAGGGCTGTAGCTGCTGGCAGAGTTGGAAGGGGATCTCACCTGCGCCGCTCCATTTTCCCAGAGGACATGAAGTCATGGCAGATAGACTCCAACGAGGGGGACGAGTGGAAGGTGGAGAGTCTCCCTGGGGACCATGGCACCAACTTTCCTGACCCCAGGGTCAAGAAGTATTTTGTCACCTCTTATGGGTAAGCAATGATGTGGAAGAGGCTGGAGGAGGCCATGCTGAGGGCGGTGTCGGGGACTCTGCAGACTGTCAGGATAAGAGGAGGCCTCTAGAATTTCAAGGAGGGGGGGTCCCAAACAGGGGGTCAGGAGCAGTGAACTTGGTGGCAGGTTGGTTGGGAAGATGGGTTTCAGGTGACCAGGAGCTCACTGAACATAAAAGTCAGGAGCAGGAGTCAGCCACACTCCCCAGTGTCCCTTGGGATAAATACTACCCAGGGAAAAGCAGATCTAATACACCATTTCCCTCAGATAGACTGGAGGAGCTCCAGCCAGGGCCTGTCCTGGAGCCGGAGGGTCTCCTGGGTCCCTTGAGCCATCTGCCTGGCAAGGAAGGGCCCTGTTTATCACTGAATATGCAAGTCTTGCCCTTTGTCCCCAGCATGTGCCTCAAGTCCCAGATGATAGACCTTAAGGCTGAGGGCTATTGGGAGGAGCTGATGGACACCTTCCGGCCTGACATCGTGGTTAAGGACTGGTGAGTGGCCTGTGTCCCTACCCTCTATGTCTTCCTTCCTGCCAGCCACTGACAGTCCACACAGAACTTCAGCTGTGTTTGTAGGTGGCCAGTGAGCCTCGGATGAACTAGCTGCCCTAGGACCAGAGGACTGCAGCCCTCTCTGAATTCTGTAGAAACTCATAGCCTTCTTACACAGCGCCTCCCTCTGGTTAGCCCACACCCCCTGTATTTATTTCTTTGGTGCTAGGGATGGAGCCCGGGACCTGCCTCGCACTAAGCGTACACTCTTCTGCTAAGCTCCAACCTCAACCCCTCCCAAGGCCCTTTCCCAAGATACCCCTCTGTGCCTACAAGTACTGGCACAAAAGATTCTGGGGGCCAAGTCTGAGGACAATGGAACAAGCTGTAAGCCAGCACATTGCAGAGGTTCCCATCTACTGTACCATATGGTGACAGACAGCATCTTCATAGAAAAAATCATTTTGATTTCAAGCTCATACCCTTTTCCTTGATGGGAAAACTGAGGCATATGTAGACAGATGCTTCTCCCAACACAGGGACAAAAGGAATGTAGAGCCAGCTAGCATGGGCAGAGGGGTGCTTACAGATGGAAGCTGTCCCCAGGGCCAGCCTTCAGAGGCAGGGGTGCCCACCCTCTCCTCTGTCCTCCCTAGGTTCGCCCCCAGAGCTGACTGTGGCTGCATCTATCACCTCCGGGTACAGCTGGCCTCAGCCGACTACATTGTCCTGGCCTCCTTTGAGCCTCCACCTGTGACCATGGAACAGTGGAGTGACACCACATGGAAGGAGGTAAGACCCTGCCCACCTGCTCTGCCTCACTCTCCCCGGCCAGGCTGTTTAGGAACAGGGACAATTGTTCTGTAGCGCTGGCCTCTCCTCCTCACCATGGCAGTCCCAGTGGTTACCCTCTGTCCTCCCCAGGTCTCAGTGGTTACCCTCTGTCCTCCCCAGGTCCCAGTGGTTACTCCTCTGTCCTCCCCAGGTCTCAGTGGTTATCCTCCCTCTCCTCCCCAGGTCCCAGTGGTTAGGTTACCTCTCTGTCCTCCCCAGGTCCCAGTGGTTACCTCTCTGTCCTCCCCAGGTCCCAGTGGTTATCCTCCCTCTCCTCCCCAGGTCCCAGTGGTTACCTCTCTGTCCTCCCCAGGTCCCAGTGGTTACCCTCTGTCCTCCCCAGGTCTCAGTGGTTACCTCTCTCTCCTCCCCAGGTCTCAGTGGTTACCTCTCTGTCCTCCCCAGGTCTCAGTGGTTACCCCTCTGTCCTCCCCAGGTCTCAGTGGTTACCCCTCTGTCCTCCCCAGGTCTCAGTGGTTACCCCTCTGTCCTCCCCAGGTCTCAGTGGTTACCTCTCTCTCCTCCCCAGGTCTCAATGGTTACCCCTCTGTCCTCCCCAGGTCTCAGTGGTTACTTCTCTGTTCTCCCCAGGTTTCTCAGTGATTACCCCCTCTGTCCTCCCCAGGTCTCAGTGGTTACCCCCTCTCTCCTCCCCAGGTCTCCTACACCTTCTCTGACTACCCTCCAGGAGTCCGCCACATCCTTTTTCAGCATGGAGGCCAGGACACCCAGTTCTGGAAAGGCTGGTATGGGCCCCGTGTCACCAACAGCAGCATCATTATCAGCCACAGACCAGCCAAGAACCCCGCCCCTGCCAGACCTCTGCCGGAAGACACTGCAGTAATAGGAGGGAAACACTCAGCCTCAGCTCCACATGCCCTCTTGGACTTTTTCTGACAGTCATCTGCCCCCCTCTGTTGGGGTCCGCTTGCAAATCGAAGCCTGGCAAAAGCTTAGTGGACAGTCCTATGAGCACCTGCCCTCCAACCGCCAGCAAACCCATCAATTCAGTGGTGATCTTACAGTCACACGGCTTTGACATTTTGTTGTAATAAACATTTTCAGTAAATCCAGCCTGGGGCTTACAGGTGGGGCTGCTGGCACTCCTGATGGAGAAACAGCCCCTCCCCCACAGAAGCTTTGCTGCCCATGCTTCTCCCATTTTTGGTTAATGACAATGCAGTCAGCCCTTTGGGGACCCTTTATTAACAATAACTCAGCACAGTATTTCAGAAGGACAGTGTTAGCTGGCTAAGCCCCAGGAGGCTGCTGAGAAATGGTGTCTGTCCTGGCGTCCTTCCCTGGTCTCCTGGGAAGTCAAGCAGGATTGAGAAGCCCAGCCAGAGGGGCGGCCACATGTCAAGGCGATAAGAGCACTTGGAGTCAGGGAGCCCTGCAGCACCGCCCTGGGCTGGGGCCCCAGAGTGGGACAGCTGGGCACTGGGTGGCAGGCACGCCCTCAGCTGTGTTTATGAGCCCGTTCTTCTACATAGAGCTGCATCTGTAGAAAAGTAGCTTTGGTCAGGCCATGGAGGCACATGTTGGGAACCAGCCCCCTCCCCAAACCTTGGGCAGCATACTCTCTAGCCTGGAATTAACTCTGGGCCCTGAGTCTCATAAATGAGGCTTCCTCCATCCCCTGAACCCCAAAAGCTCACCTTTAAAATATCCGACGTCATGGTTTTTAGGGGTATCAACCGGGGGTCATGCATGTGAACATCCTGTTCGTCTGCCAGGATCCATGGGAAGTCCTAGGGATGGGATCAGATGAGGGTTAGAAGGGACTATACTCAGTCCTCGCTCTGCTAACCCTTCCCCTCCAGGACTCACACTGCACGGGAGGGGGTGGGGCACTGGGAACCCCAGCAATTTAAGTCGCCAGTGTGGTTCTAAAATAATTCTGAAACCAAAGAGTACAGGTCTCTCTCTGGAGAACTCCGTTCAGAGGAGCCAGGGTGAGCTAGCTGCTCACCACCTGGCTTCACTGCGGTTCTTCTCATCCTTGGGTACACGGGATATGATCGGGTGGGTAACACACAGGGACACTCACTTGATGCCAGGCACAGGCAGCACCCTGAAATTATAGATACGTGTAAACACACACACACCTTGATGACCTGTATCTTCTCCATGTTTCGGGTGGCAGCTTCTCTTGTATGCACAAGGACTGTGAATGTGCAGCCTGCAGAGGGAATGCTTGGTCAAGGTCAAACGTAAGCAGCCTCAGCATCCCAGGGGACCAGGCTTCTCCCCCCCTCCCCCACAAGATGTAAAGTGTAGCCAATGGCAAAGACGGTGTCAGTGAGCACCTGAAATGTAGCAATCGGTCCTGGAGAGATGAACTCTCCGGTGTTGAAGGGCAGGGAGGAAGTGGCTGGCCCAGGGCAGCTAACTAGGAAGAAGATAGCATGCCAAGGTAACCAAGGGAACAGAGGGGAGTGGGCATCACACCTGGAGGGTTGTGGTCCAGGACAGCGTCACACACACTAATCTTCAGGATGAAGGCTCGCAGCAACTGCTCCACGTGAGACAACAGGGAGTCGGAACTGGGAAAGGGAAAGGAGGTCCCCAATTCTACCGTGCTCCTCGGCCACCCCCAGCACATAGCAGTCTGGGCCAAACACCTTTGCTGCCTGAGAGAGCCAGCCCAGCCCCACCCACAAGACAGAATGGAGGCAGGGTGCAGTGGTCCCTTTAGACAGTTCTAATATTCAGCTAGTTCAAGCCCCTGCATACTTCCAGGACCCCAAGACAGGAGCACAAAGGCCTTGTTTGAGGCTGCCTAGCCGGGAGACAGGCTGGCTGTTGATTCCACTGCCCTTACCTCAGCACAGACAGCAAGTAGCTGAGTAGCTAATGGAGATACCATGGTAACCAGTCAACTTGGTCTGAGTCCTGAGCTTTACAATCACTGGGTGACACCACACAGAGGTCACCTCTCAGGACCTTGGTTTCTTCATCTTCACAATAAGGCTAGAGGCTAACATTGATCACTTCCTGAGATGTTCCAGGGATAACACAGGATGATCCTGCCTCCTCTGCACAAAGGTTTGTGGCAAGTGTGTCTCTGATGTTAACAGTATATATTGCCATTTCAGGTTCTTTACTAAAGGGTATGTGGAGCCAGAAGGGATCCATGTGACAGGTTACAGCAGCCAGCCAAGGGAGGGTGACAGCTCACCTGATGGACAGCAAGGGTGGCTGAGTGATCTCAAAGACAAACTTCTCCACTGGACGGTGTTCCTTATCCAAAATCACCACCATTACCTTCTCCACATCGTTCTGTAAGCACAGGGACGGGAGAGGTGGGACAGGGTGCCGGCTAAAGCTACCTGGGGACCCAGGAAGTGAAAAGTTCAAGTTGGGTTTCAAGACATGAATGGGCCGGGCGGTGGTGGCGCACGCCTTTAATCCCAGCACTCGGGAGGCAGAGGCAGGCGGATCGATGTGAGTTTGAGGCTGGGCTGGACAGACAGCCTCAAAAACAATACAGAGAAACCTTGTCTCGTAAAAACCAAAAAAAAAAAAATTAAAGACATGATTGGTATAGGCCAGTAGGAGATGCCGGGCTCCCAGTAAGGTTCCCCTATAAGTCTCAGACCAGGGCAAGAAGGACTAGGAAAAAAAATCCCAAGGGGGGCCCAACACAGAGAGGATGGGGACCAGAGATGCAGGGATGGGACAGGCCATGGGTGCGTGAGAAGAACCAGATCTTCCGGGGAAGGTCCCACCCAGAACTGGCCCAACTAATGCACCCTAGATGTGACCTGTTGCTAGCTGGGGGTGGTCTTCAGAGTGAGACTTCTGGTTGATAAAGGATATAGGCACTCCCCACAGAGTCAGTCCAGAGCCCGGAAGAGCTTGGGTGTGGAGGGTCCGTTAGGACCTGGGGCCCCCTCACCTTCTCCAGGAGTGGTTTGACGCAGTGAAGTGTGTCCTGAATGTACTGGTTCAGTTCCGGATGACAGGACATCTGCACACAATCCCACAGGGTTGTTGAAGCCCATGGCATGAATGGGGGAAACACCAACAACCCCCACACAAACATACACCTGCTCGTTTTTTTTTGGACAAACAACAGCCATTCCCCAGGTCTCCCTGGCTTCGAGAAGCAACTCATCATCACGGTGCTAAGAACTGTGGTGGCGCACACCTTTAATCCAGCATTTGGGAGGCAGAGGAAAGCTGATCTCTGTGAGTTCGAGACCAGCCTGGTTTACAGAGAGTTCCAGGACAGCCTCCAAAGCCACAGAGAAACCCTGTTGGGGGGGGGGGGATAGTGGATGAATTTATCCCTGGAGAGATACTCAAAGACAGGCCCTCCATCTCAGCACTAGCATTAACATTAAGAAGCTGGGTAGAGCCAGGCTTCACACCTTTTTTTTTTCAGGCTTCACACCTTTAATCCCAGCCTTCGGGAAGCAGACACAGGTGAGTTCAAGGACAGCCAGGGCTACCCAGAGAAACCCTGTCTCAAAAGACAAAACAAAAGCTGTACAGGGCCAGGCATGGTGCCACACACATTTAATACCAGCTCTAGGGAGGCAGAGGCAGGCAGATCTCTGAGTCTAGGCCAGCAGGAGCAAGGGCTATCCAGAGAAACCATAGGGGGGGGGCTGTGTGACCACAGTCAAATGACATCTCTGAGCTTAATGATGTAAAGGTGAAGATTAAATAAGAAAGGACTAGAGAGCAGAGATGCTTGGTAACTGTCTTCTTCCACCACCCCCTAGTACTTAGAGGTCATGATTCTCAAGCTGACTGAATGACTGCTATGAGAAAGGGACTTGGGAGGGAGACAGCATGTCAACTGTTTTGCCTTTTAAGGTTAAACCCAAGAGCAAGCAGGGTAGCACATATCTTTAATCCCAGCATTTGGAGGGCAGGCAGATAGATCTCTGAGTTCAAGGCCAGCCTGGTCTACACGGGGAGTTCCAGGACAGCCAGGACCACACAGAGAAACCCTGTCTTGGAAAACAAAAAACAAAAGAGAGAAGCTTGGTAATGATCTCTGGTAATCCTAGGACTCAAGAGGCGGATGCAGGAGCATCAAGAGTTCAAGGCCAGCCCCAGTTTCCTAACAACTCTGAGCCCAGGCGAGGTCTGGATTTAGGGGCGGGAGGGGCTGCTCGGCAGTTAAGAGTACTTTCCACAACCAGAGTCAGGTTCCCAGTTCACACCCCAGGCATCTTACAAACGCCAAGGGCTCTCATGCCCTCCTCTAGCCTCAGTGGGCATCCTTATGTACAAACATGCAGACACACACACACACACACACACAAAATTAACATAAAACATAAACATATGGTGGCTCACGCCTTTGCTCGCAGAACTGGGGAGGCAGAGGCAGGAGGATTTCTGTAAGCTCGAGGCCAGCCTGGCCTACATAGTGGGAAATCCACACCACCCATGCCTACACAGTGAGACCCCCATCTCAAATAATGATAAATAATGGTTTAAATTGAAGTTTAAGGAGAATGAGGAGAGAAAGAAGATGCTGGGCACTGTGGGACTCCTCTACCCAAGTCAATGTTCCCACCTTGGAACCCCTTTAAAATGCAAGCTTGGAATAGCTCTTATCCAGGGTCCCTAACCAGAGGATTCCTTCTGAGGTAGGGCGGGAAAAGCCAGGCGGCGAGAGGTAGGAGGCTGTCCGCTATCAGCCTCCTTTGGGGAGTGAGGGAGCTTGCAAGTAGAATAAAGGTTTTTTAATCCAGCCGACCATCGGGGCTCACCTGAACCGGCACGTTGTACTTCTTGCGCTTCTGGAAGATGCCCACTGGGTAGACCTCGCGCACATAGAGGATCAGGTGCACGGCGACCTCCAGGAACTCGGACAGCACGTCGGCCACCACTGTGGAGGAGACACAGTTGATGAGGACTCCAGCCAGGACCACCCCCACCCCACCGCGCTGCAGGCCCGGATCCCTACCTTGGCCAAAGTTGAGGTCTTGGCGCGTGAGCGTGGTCATCCTTAGCCGCCTGGGGGAGGACGCGGAGGGTGTCAGCAGGGACCCACGGCACCCCGCCCCGCACGCGGGAAACGCAGCCCGGTCGGGGAAGCCCCACCCCCTGAGTGGCCGGATCCCTCCCGGCGGAAATCCCGCCCTCTCCGAGCTCCTCTACGACTGCCGGCTCCGGATTCGGCCTCAGGTTCGAAACTTTGCTCTGGTGACAGCAGCCACCGGCCGGGGACCCTTCGCAGGTCCCCCAGTATCCCCTGGCCTCAGGAACCACCACGATGCTCCCGCGGAACCAGCGCTGCCATCTGCCACGCCCACCCCTGAAGTTGTCCAATCCGGGCCTCACCCTGTTGGGAGAGGCGGAGCAGCCTGGGGGGCGGGGCTTAGGGGCGGAGACCCGCCTGAGTGACAGGGATCTCAGCAGAGTCAGCTAAGCCGCCTTTGGACTTCAGGTGGGAGCGATAAGGACATTTCGGTGGCCTCTACACAGGATCGCTGCGTTTCCCCCTCCCGGGCATTTCTCTTGAGTAGTTTCAAGTGAGAGCCGGCTGCAAAGCACAGCTGGGAACCAAGGGAGGGCAGCGACATCTGCTGCTAGTCCAGAGTCAGCGTACCCGGAGTCCCAGCTTGCCCAACCGAAAGCGAATCCGCAGGCTTGGGGGCGGGGACAGGGGAGGTCTGAGATGCACCCGAGACGCTCCACCCCCACCCGGAACACAAGTGCTATGGGGCTTGACCTCCTTAAAGAATTAAATGTACCACGATTTCTTCACAATAGCTGACCTTTGGAAGCAGCAGCCGAGAGCTAGGCGCCTGGGCAGGGGTGTCTGTAGGCTGACTCACTAAATCCTCAGAATACGTGTGGATTCCTGGCTGTCTTCTTTCTGCCGATGAGCCTAACAAGGACTTGTCTGTGTCACGCAGCTAGCTGAGGGGGCGGGCAGTAGTGTTGCTCCAGGGTCCTACCAGCAGAGGCACGGACTCAATTCCAGAAGAGCCGAAAGGGCCTCAGATCATTTTAGTAGTACGAGAATTACATCCATATTATGGAACCATTTTATGCAACAAACCCTGATTTCTATTTATTTATGTGCGTGGGTGTTCTGTCTGCCTGTGTCTGGACACTACGCGAATAATTAGTGCAGGTGAATACCAAGAGAGGGTGTCAGATTTCCTGCAACTGGAGTTATAGATGCCTGTGAACAGCTATATAGGCGCTGCGTATTGAACCCCAGCCCCAACACCCAATCCCTCTCCTCTGGAAGAGCAGCCAGTGCTCTTAACCGCTAAGCCATCTCTACCTCTCCAAACTCTGATTTCTATTAATTCCTTCACTAGCCCTAGGAGCTACATATCGCCTTTACAGTCCCGCACTCCGTAAAACAGGCCCAGGAACGTTCCTTCATTCACTATGGTAGGTAGACTATGCCCCAAGACTAGGTGAGAATTCAGTTTAACTCACCACCTTCTATTTAACAGATAGGAAACCTGAGGTTAGAGAAGTGGTGTAACACGAAAAATAAATGACCCAGAGACAGATACTGGGATCCAAGCTGAAGATCAGAGAAGCAAAGCAGCCAAGCTGCCAGAGAGCTTTAACCCCTAATGGGGCTGGGACCTTCCTATTGTCAATGTGGCTGGAGAATGAATGCCTGACACTGATTACTGAAGTCCTTGCTCCTATCTTTCTTTCTTTTTTTTCTTTCTTTCTGGTTTTTCGAGACAGGGATTCTCTGTATTGTTTTGGAGGCTGTCCTGGAACTTGCTCTGTAGACCAGGCTGGCCTCAAACTCACAGAGATCCTCCTGCCTCCGCCTCCCGAGTGCTGGAACTAAAGGCATGTGTCACCCAGCCCCGGCCCCTGCATCTATCTTTTATACCCCTCTACTGCTGAGATTAAAGGTGTGTGATCCCAGGTGCTGGATCTTGTGTAGATCTGGGTGACCTTGAACTCGAAGAAGAGATCTGTCTACCTCTTAACCCTGAGTCCTAGGATTAAGGGTGTATATACACCACCACCTCCTAGCTTCTGGCTGCTGGGATTAAAGGTGTGTCCCTGGCTTCTATGACTTGTGGCTGACTGCTTTCTGAATCCTCAGGCAAGCTTTAATAAATCATAAACAACATATCACCACAAAGTGGCCTGGAGTTAGGGACGACAAGGCAGGCCTAGAAGTCAAGAGAACTTAGACCAGTGGTTCTCAATTTGTGGGTTGTGACCCTTATGTGGGTCACATACTGGATATCTTGCATATCAGATACCTGTATGAAGATTCATAACAGTAGCAAAATTACAGCTGTGAAGTAGCAGCAAAAGTAATTTTATGGTGGGGGTCACCACAACACATGGAACTGTGTTAACGGGTGGCAGCATTAGGAAGGTTGAGAACCGCTGACTGGGACTCTGCCCTCCAGGAGTATAGAATTGTCCATGTCTACTTCCATAGAGAACGTTGATTTAAAGTCCACCCCTGCACCCTCCTTCCCCAGAAGCTTCCAAACCCATATTTACATCCTTCTCCTGGGAAGGGATAAATAGCAGGCCAGAGGTAGGATTAACCCAAAATGTGAGCAATGCAGTTCTCAAAATGCAGACCAGCCCCCAGGGACCCTATTAAACCCTGGCTGCCTGTCTGCCCTGACTTGCCTGACCAGGGCAGGCTTCCAGCAATGCTCCACTCTTTAACAAGCTCCCCGGGGAACATGTATACACCAGAAAACGTGGAAACTGCCTGCATTCTGTAACATGTCACTGCTTAACCCAGCAGCATGGCTGGTTTGGCTTTAGGAATCGATACACCTGTCTGTGGCCACAGCAACCCTGCCCACATCACTCCATGTCGGACAGGGCCCTCCCTTTCCACGCAGAGCTGGCCAGGCAACTCCCTGCCTTGTAGACCTGAGTGCATGGAGATCTCGTGATGGTGGGTTGGGGGAATGCCAAGAGCCCTCCTTTATCCCCCACCCCCAGCTTCTGAACAGCATTTTCATTAGTGATGTGAGTGGGGGGCGGGGAGACTCTGAGGTAGCCTGGGACCAGCTGGGGACCTCTGCCTGCAGCTCAGCAGCGCCTGGGTTTTCCTTTCGTCTTAATCTTAGCATGATGGCTGGCTGGAGGGCTGAGATTGTGTTATGTGGTAAGTTATTGTTTTTGAATCCCCACTTGCTGGAAGCCTGGTTTTCAATGCTAGTTGCATGTTTTTCACCATAAGGACACTATGTAATGGTGGGGGAGAGGGGCTTGGAAGGAAAGTGGACTGTCAAGGAGAAAAGAGAGTGTGTATGTGTTTGCCAACTAGAGCAGGTCCCTGGTGGGGGCCTCGATGGGGACGGAGAGAAAAATCACTCCCAAGAGACACAGAAATGGAAACAGAGAAGGCAGATGACAAAAAGAAAAAGAAAAAAGCAAACATATGAGCACCAGCCCTGCAAAGACCAAGCCTTCACTGCTGTGTCAAAGGTTCTCGGGATACGCTGAACAAACATGCCAAGAGCGCATTGGGGAAGACACTTGTCGTCGGAGTGTGCAGACTCACAACAAGCCTCTATAGCCAGTCCTCAGAGGGGACCACAAAAGTGCCATCTGGGCAGGTGAGATGGCTCAGCAGGTAGAGGGGCTTGCCACCAATCCTGGCGACTTGAGTTCAATCCCCAGGACCTGCATGGTGGATGGAGAAAACTGACTCCTGCAAGTACAGGCATGCTACTGAGCTCTCTCTCTCTCTCTCTCTCTCTCTCTCTCTCTCTCTCTCTCTCTCTCTCTCTCTCTCTCTCTCTCTCAATAAATAAATAAATGTAAAAAATAAATTAAGCTAATTAATAAAGTATCCACATGTTTCCCATCTGGCTCATGTTCCCAGGACAATCAACGCATGGGGCAGGGAAGAGAGAAAGGGAACGAGCCACAGAAAGCAGTCACAGGACGCTCTCCCTGATGCTCCACCCAGCTTGGCCTGCTCGGAGAAGGCACCTGGCCTGTCAGGCTCATTTTGGGGGTTGGTTTTTTTATTTGTTTGTTTGTTTGCTTAACACCTCACCCAGTGCCTGGCCAGCTCAGGGTCTCCCAGAACAAGTGTCAAGTGAATGACTACAAGGGAGGTAGGAAGAGGACATGATTGCAAAGCCTCCTGCCCAGTGGCCTGATCTGTGCCCCAGCTTCCTTAGAAAGAATAAGCTAAGACTGCTGACGTCAGCAGAGGCAGGAGCCCACCACACCTACTGCCCACTCATGTATCCACGTGGTTCTCTCCACCACCCTGATACTCAGCCAGCCAGGAGACCCCTTTCTTCTTTCAGCCTCAGCTTGCTCATCTGTGCAATGGGAAACTATAGATACAGTCCCAAAGAGTTATCTGGACAGGGTGACGTACACTTTGAGTCCTAGCACTCAGGAGGCAGGAAGATTGCCACAAGGTCCAAGCCAGCCAGAGCAACACAGTCTTTCTCCAAAATAAATAATATGAAATTCTGTTTATTTTGGACTTTTTAAATTTTATGTGTACGAATTCTTTGCCTGCCCGGTGCATGTGTGCCGCGCGTGTGACCAGTGCCTGCAGAGGTGGAAGAGCACCCTCTCCTGAGTCCCTGGAACTGGAGTCATGGGTGGTTCTGAGACATTATATATGTGCTTGGAATCGAACCCAGGACCTCTGCAAGAGCAACGAGTGCTCTAAGACATCGAGCTCCAAATAAAACAAAGTTCTATACAACAGAGTCAGTATTTATAAATACACAGTGCATAAATGGTCAACCGGTGGCCATAAGATGGTGATACAAATATCTACGCAGGACTGAAGAGCCTGACAAAATGAGTTCAAGCCCCAGAACCACGTGATGAAAGCAGGGAACCTGCGCCCACCCAGTTGTCATCTGATACACGCGAGTGCACACACACACACAAATACACTCACGTACACATACACACACACCACATACACACACTCACACACACAAATACACACACTCACACACACTCTCACACAAATACACGCACACCACACACACACACACACAAATACATAAACACGAAGATTAGTAGAAGAGATCTACACAGACCATCAGGCATGGTGGCACAGACCTTAAAAGTCACAGCACTGGTGAGGCAGAGGCAAGAACAGCTCTGAGGACAGGCATTGGTGGCACACGCCTTTAATCCCAGCACTTGAGAGACAGAGGCAGGTAGATCTCTGTGAGTTCCAGGCCAGCCTGGTCTACAGAGCAAGTTCCAGGACAGCCTCCAAAACAATACAGAGAAACCCAGTCTCAAAAGACCAAAACAAAAACAACAACAACAACAACAACAACAAAGAATAGC